TAGTGAAGAGGTTTTTTTTTTAATTTTTGGATGGGATATTAGCAAATATCTGTATTATACACTAAGCTATTACAATGGTACTTAAAATAATGTAAATTTGAAGTCACTGTTATAAAGTAATAAAAGTGGAGATTACTTAAGTATTTAAATTATGAAAGAATAATACAGACTTTTTATTGTTTCGTAACTGACTAGAAAGAGCCACCAGCATTACTCTGTGCCTTTTGGACTTCAGTTTGTGTGTCCGTAGGAATTGTATGCATTCCATTCACACGGTGTTTTATAATGCTGTGATGAATTTGAGTTACAAATCCTACAGTAAGTAGATAATAATGAAACTTTCCACATTTCAGAGCTCTCATGAATATTCTTTAAGTGCTATTCAAACCTCCCCAGCATTTACATGCATATAATGGACTTACCTGAGGAAAGACCGCACGGTAACACGGGGAGTGATAACCAAGGTGAATTTTACAAACTGATGTGTAATAGATTTAAATATTCAAAAATAAATGTAAGTAAGAAGAGCTGATAATTGTGAAATTCTTTCCCAAATTTAAATACACAGGAAAACATGGTTTGAATTTGAAATTTAACACTTATTTATGTAAAATATTTTATTTAAGATATTTTCTAACGATTTTAATTTCAGAGATTATCTTTTCATTCTGTGTGTTACAAAGAAGTACCGAAAAGTTAAGGACATTTGGGGGCTGCTTTTTTTCCCTCTAAACTAAAAACGACATTAGCTAAATTATTATTGGTTAGTTAACACCTTGTCCCTTAAAGTCAGTGACTATTCTTGTGTTTGATATATATTACACAGAGTCTTAAGTCAGTGTACAATTCCACTGGAATTTGAGAGTTGTCTATAAAGTAATGCAACTTGAAGTAGAGAAGACTGGTACTGGCCATAGAAGGGGGATGATTGGTTTGAGGGGTTAATGTGAGGCCTTTTTGAAAAAATGAATATTTTGATAAAGAGAATTCTCGTTTGAGCACAGTTGATGCACATAGGTGATTCCCATGTTTGTTGTATAAACTGGTTTAATACATTTGGAACATAGTTGGATTACATTCTCTTCCTGGGAAAGTTAGCTTACCACACATTCAGGCTTATAAAATAAGTTGCCCTAGACAAAGCCATTTAAAAAGTTCATTCTGAAATTATTTCTTTTACCTATAGTGAAATAATTGTTAAAATTAGTCTTTCAGAAACTGTTGGATTCTAGGCATTCCTGAGAAATTGAAAGTGGCTACCTTTCATGTCAAAAATGTTGATCTATTATAAATAAACTGTTTTTGCAGACTTGTTTTTGTTTTGTTTCTGGCTATGTGTATTGTATTTTCATTTTGAAACACTATATATCCTATATCCAAGCAGAAGGAAATGAGAAAGCATATATTCACTAAAACATACTAATATGTTATTTTAGGAATATAGTCTATATAAATTATTTATTTAGTTTACTTTTACTAAAAACAGATTGTTGCTATAAAATTAACATATTGCGGAGACAGTTTAAAGGAAGTGTTAAGGCTCTCATTTACTTTGAAATACAGTAGAATAAATATGTCCATTACCAGATGAATGACTATAATTATTTTTATTAATTCATGAATCTACTTATCTAAACGCTAATGGTTTCCTTAAAAAACAACAGCTAGTTAAGATACACAGTGTGTTTCAAGGGAGTCTCCCTTATGCTGTTCAATATCTTAATGTCAGTAAGAATTCACATTTATTCTCACAGTTATTTTTGAAGCAAACTGTAGATTCTTTAAAGACAAGACAGACTAACCACACTGATCACGGAGACTGTGTGTTCTTCCAAAACAGACCATAAAACTCCCGTACCCACTCTTTTTTTAAACAAATAAAAATGGTACAAGTTTAAGTATTCAACTTAACAAAAAAACGAAGTTTGCAAAGTAACGAAAAGCTAATTTGAAATTATGCCTGTGTTTCTAAAGCAAGCCAGAGATTAAAATTTTTCCGAAACCCAGAAATGCCATCGCTAGCAATTTTGCTGAATTATTTCAAGAACGATGCTTGAATGGTAGCAACATCTAACTTTATAGATCAATGTCCTTGACCTTTATTTGTTTGCATCAGTCACCCCTTTTGAAAGATTACTTTGCTAAACATCAAGTGGACTTACAACCTGAATGAAATTGTAAGTAATTTTAATGAAATTTCAATTCAAGTTGCTGTCAAATTTCTTAACAGAAAAAAAAAAAAAACTGGTTCAAATAAATAGTCTCTGATAAAGTTTGGGGAGGTGAAATCACTGTATTGAATTGCCTTTTCATGACCCCCAATTTTTAAGATAACCTATTTTCAACCATTACTGGAACTTTAAGAACAGAACTTTCTCTAGACACCATCTTGTTGATCTTTGAACTGTGAGAGCTAACTGCGGTGAATATCTTGTGTTGGTCACCAATTTCTTAACTATTTTTTGTAGAAAGAATGTATGTTTAAAGAGCTTTATAATTAGCAATTTTAATTCATAAAGTTCTCTAGATTGGCTAGGTAACAACATTCCAACTTTGTGTTGGATGTTAACTCTTTCATAAGCAAACCATGAAATAATTTTAGTTTTTCATATTAATAGATATGTGTTTGAAAGTCCTAATGTAACTTCACAGTGTGCTTGTTTTGTTACTATTTTATTTCAGTGCATTTTTAAAATAATAGATTAAAGATATTTGTTCCTAATAAAATATAATGTATCTGGTAGATTTCTACACATTGGCAAATAACTGGATTTTAGGCTATTTTCATACTACATATGGATGTTTTGCATGAATTTCATCTGTGGAATTAGCACTCTAGTCATAATGTCTTGAATGACACATCAGTCTTTTCATATTTTCCCTTCAAAACTACAAGAAACTGTGCTTTGATTGACTTCTTTATGGTTTACTTTGTTTGCATGTTAAAGAAAACTCTTCAAATAAACATTTCTATTCACTATACGACCACACCAGTCATAACATGACAGTTAATGCAAACTTAACACAATAGAAGTTTTATTATGTCTTTTTGATAATACATAGATAATTCTTTCAGTTTAATGTGGTGAAAATGTAAATTATTTGCTTTCCTTAAAAGAGTCTTCAGAAATAGCTGGAAAATTCTACCCAAAGCCTGTCTATATGGAAGAGTATATACTATTTTAATTTCCTTTTATTTCATTAAAGATCAACCCATTATATTTATTTCAGTAAGATCACTGCATGAATAGAACTTCTTGAGGGACTTTAATGTAGTAAAATTTATGTTGTCTGTAAATTGGCATTTTGTGTTACATGTTATAGATATTAACTTTTTTATTAGTTATCATTTGTTGATAGTCTGCTTTATAAAATTTTTTTAAACTACCCGTACTTTTGAATTGTTGGCCTTTGCAACCTTAGATATTTTTAGGATATTCATTTTCAATGAAGCTGAAAATGTTATAAATGCCTTTTGTAATGTATACATTCCTAAGTAATATAAACCTAATAATTTCTCATTGACTCTACAGTTTTATAGATTACATTTTTAACTTCCTCTGTTCATAAATCTCCCTGTCCTGTATCAAGTATTGAACCTAAGGTGAATGCTTTTCATAACATAAATCATTTTTTAATTTCTTTTTTGTAAGAATTTCATAAATATAATCCCCTTTCTAACAAATTCTTTTTTGTCTTACCATTAAAGAGCATGGAAATGATAACATGCTCTC